TGAAACATCTGCAAGATTAAGCCTTGCCACTTATCAAGACGATACAAGCAAGACTAACCAACCACTTCTTCGACCAAAAATTCAAAAAGTCAAAGAAGCCCACAGAGACCAAAGGTTTGACGTTCCAATTGACGTTCAACAAATGGTTAACTATCCTGAAATCTCTTTTGAAGATTTCAGAACAATCTGGAAGAAAGCAAGAGCTGCATGCCCAGAAGACCTTGTTCATGAAAAGTTTTTCACTACGGACAAGAAAACAAAAAGTCTGTTCAACTTTCTCGAAGGAGCAGATGCAAAATTAGTCTACCAAGCCTTTCAAGCTGGACTAATCGACAATATCTACCCAAGCTGCAACCTTCAAGAACTCAAATTCTTCCCAAGCAGCATGGTAGAATCCATTAAGAACTTTCGAAAGAAAGTACTTAAAGCAAAAGATAATCCGATCTACATCAGATGCATCTCTTCACTCCCAGAATGGATTCAAGAATCAACTCTTTCTCCATACCACTTTCTGGAAATTGGTCTTTCTAAAGTTTTCAATCTATCCAAAGTTTGCTCTGGATTTAAAATCTACAAATATAGATAAAACCTTATCTTTTATACATCACTTTGAAAGAAGTGACCTTATGAGTCCAGGTGATAAACCATTCACCATAACATATATTATACGATATGCCCTGACCAACAGTCACCATAGCATAGACTATAAGAAAGACGAGTACATCGAACTTGATGATGTCTTTTCAGAAATAGGCCATGTCAAAGATAAACAATTCTGCGACATAAATCCTCAAGAAAACTCTTGGGTGTGTGGATGTGTACGAACTTTTTGTCTTAACAAAGATGGGAATAAATATAAAAATTGTGAAAGAAGACTCTTATATCAATAAATGTGTGATTGATATGTAGTGAGTGATATACTTACATAGATAGAAACTATTCAAGCCAGCCTGTGTCGTTCTTTGGTCTGTGTGGTTGCTTTCCCTGTTGGCATCGTGCCTGTGGTACTGTTAATCATCGTCGACCTGACACTCTGTCACTTACAAGTTTCATGACTCTATTTTGTAAGAACACTCAAAATAACAAAACAAAGATTTATTGATAAAAGAGCTCCCGAAAAAGGGAAAACTCTTACAATATTTTACATTTCTCCCTTCTAAGGGAGATTTTACTCAAAGACATTGAACTGAAAATTTAATAGATAGAGAGTGTTTTTTTTTGCACTCGTTATTGCGATGTCCTCTAAAACAAAACATAACTCTCAATTTATAGATACATTGAGAGGGTCTGATATTTGCCTATTATGTCAGGCATGACGTTTTTATCCACTAAAGATTACATTATTGTGGACAGCTGAAAAGCTTCTAATAATGGAGAAAAGGCATTATTATTTTGAGTGGAGGGGCCATTTGACACGTGAAGCATCTTTCTTTAAGATGATGAGGATTTGTCATCTTCAGAGGGGGGTCCCTCCTTTGTCTCCGAATCTTTGCAATCGCAAAAGTGACAAAGATGTTCTTCGAAAAGTTGTTCTGCATGTCGGCAGAAGTGTTGGCGTGTAGCATTGGATACTTCCATGCTATTGTTCATGAATTTTTCTCCAAACTTGGAGGCTTGACGAAGATCTTCTTGGCTGGTGTTGTTGTAACTCCAGCTTGTAATTATACAATGTGAATCGGTATAATTAATCTTCTTTTTTGAACCAGAGATAATTTCAATGATTTTTTCTGATATTCTTCTTAAACCATTGACGCGGTTAGGATGAAGAATTTCTGTGAAAGGTAGATCTTTATCTTCCATTGGTTGAGATTGTTCAATCTCTCTATTGGCTTTAGAAAGACCAATTTCCAGAAAGTGGTATGGAGAAAGAGTTGATTCTTGAATCCATTCTGGGAGTGAAGAGATGCATCTGATGTAGATCGGATTATCTTTTGCTTTAAGTACTTTCTTTCGAAAGTTCTTAATGGATTCTACCATGCTGCTTGGGAAGAATTTGAGTTCTTGAAGGTTGCAGCTTGGGTAGATATTGTCGATTAGTCCAGCTTGAAAGGCTTGGTAGACTAATTTTGCATCTGCTCCTTCGAGAAAGTTGAACAGACTTTTTGTTTTCTTGTCCGTAGTGAAAAACTTTTCATGAACAAGGTCTTCTGGGCATGCAGCTCTTGCTTTCTTCCAGATTGTTCTGAAATCTTCAAAAGAGATTTCAGGATAGTTAACCATTTGTTGAACGTCAATTGGAACGTCAAACCTTTGGTCTCTGTGGGCTTCTTTGACTTTTTGAATTTTTGGTCGAAGAAGTGGTTGGTTAGTCTTGCTTGTATCGTCTTGATAAGTGGCAAGGCTTAATCTTGCAGATGTTTCATTTCTGAATTTTTTGCAAGTAACTTTATCAACTTTACAGAAGGTTTCTGTAATTCCCCAGTCAGTATGAACACCGGCATGGGGTCCTTTATAGATTACATAAAATCTTTCAGCTTCTTTGTTAAGAGCTTTTTTGTAATCTGGTGTAAACTCCTGCACAGATTTGTTAGTGGGTGACAAAGTTGTCATTTTACTGATTCCTTCAGTACAAGGATTGGGATCAACCAATAAGCTAGTTTTTCCATTAGGAAGAGGAGTAGCTGTCTCCTTTATTATGCTTTTTAGCAAAGCATCAGCTTTCAACGGATTTGTTGATTCTTTACCAGGTGCCGTTTGCACTGGAATAGCCTTTGTTTTTGAGCTTTCGCTTTCCGGTACATTGGTGACCGTTGTTACTTGTTCATACAAGTTGATTTTCTGCTCAATTGCAGATAGCTCTATGAGGAGCATTTGTTTCTTCATCCTCAAAATGTTGAGGTCTTCCATTTTTGTAAACTCAATTTTTGTTTACTTTTCTCTCTAATCTCCCCCTCTCTTTTTTGTAGGTGAAGTTTTTTGTGAGGAAATATGTCATGAGGATCATATCCTTTTATAGGGCTCGAGAGGAGCGAGTGAGATCATGGATGATGTAAGGCATACCTGAAGTCACGAGTGAGGCAGTCTGCCAGTACGTTTTTGTTTCCTGCGAGATGTTCAACAGCGAAAGTATATCGTGAGAACCACTCTTGCCATCGTATTAGCCGGCCTAATTTGTTATCTCCTGCAATCTTCGTTCGGAGGAAATAAGTAAAATTTTTATTATCTGTACGAACCAGGAAATTTACTGGTGTTAAATATACAGAGAATTTTGTAATAACTCTTTTTACAGCGAGTAATTCTTTTTCATTGCTATGGTAGTTTTTCTCAGCTGCTTTGAAACTGCCAGAGGTGTACCTGCAAATTTGTTCTTCGTTTTTGGGGTTTTTAGCTTTAAAACACCTCCCCAAAATTCATCAGAAGCATCAGTTTCAATAATTAAACTGTCTTCAATGTTTGGAAGATAAAGTTTTGGAAAATTGATTAAAACTTTCTTTATCTTTTTGATGTAGTCTGTATCAGCATTTGACCAATTCCAGATGACATCTTTTTTTAATTTTACCTGTAAAGGTTTTCTCATGGCTGCAAGTTTTTCAATATATGTTTCAGCATAAGTTAAAACACCAAGAAATCTTTGCAGTTGTTTTTTGTCTTCTAAAACATTTGGAAAGTCATGTAAATGTTCAAGAATATGCTTTTGAGGACAATGAGTACCTTCATTTATTTCTAAACCCAAAAAATTGATTTTTGTTTTGAAAAGATGAGCTTTCTTTTTTGAAAGTATTATTCCATATTTTAAAATAGTTCTGAGAACCTGTGTGACATGAACATAGTGTTCTTGTTCATTTTTGCTGAAGATCATGATGTCATCAACGTATACAGTGCAGAAACCTTCAAGGCCTCGAAGAGCGTTCTGCATGTGTCTTTGAAAAATACTAGGAGCTTGTTTAAGCCCAAAGGGTAGTACTTTCCATTGAAAGAGTCCATCAGGACATGTGAAGGCAGTGAGAAGCTGCGATTCTTCATCAAGTAGAACTTGCCAGAAACCTGACTTGCAGTCGAAGCTTGAATAAATGTTTTTTCCTCGTAGAAGAGTCAAGAGTTCGTGCATATTGGGAAGATTATGTGAGTCTCCAATAGTTGCATCATTGATTGCTTTGTAGTTGACAACCATGCGCTTCTTTCCTCTTCTTTTCTCTGCTTCTTTATTGACAAGAAAGGCAGGAGACATATGAGGGGATTTTGATTCTATAATTAGTCTCATATCAAGTAATTCCTTGATTTGTTTGGAAAATTCTTCTCTATCTTGTAAAGAGTAAACCATAGGTTTTTCTCTAATAACCGTCTTGGGATTAATAAGCTTAATTGAAGCTTTCATCCATCCTTTGGTTTTATTTGGATCAATAGGATTTTCAGAACAAACTTTTTCAAGAAGATCTTCAATCTGTTTGAACCTGGTAGTTTGAATAGAAATAATCTTTTCTTTATTAATCCCTTCATGGGTTATATTAGTACCTGGAATTTGTTTTTCTTTAGAACCTTTTTCTTGAGTTTCAAGAAAACCTGGTTTTCCTTTGCTATAGGCTTCTGTAACCTTTTTTATAATTACCATATCATTATTAAGATGAAAGGCGATTCTATCTATCCATTGTATGAATGGTCCATAAACTTGACAGAAGTTGTTCCAATTATGATATCAATTCCTGAATTTTGTTGGTAAATAGTGGGAACGTTGAAATGTTCTCCTGAAAGTTCGAGATTAATGTTTCTACAAACTTTATTAATTTTTATGGTTTCACCATTTGCAATAGTGGCACTAATTTCTTTGGGAGCGTTTTCCCAGAGTTCATCCGGAATGATGAATTTGCTTGCAAGACATAAAGATGCACCTGTGTCTACAAAACAATGTACTCTAAATTTTTTATATCCTTTAAAGTTAAGGAAGGCAAAACATAATAGAGTTTGGATTAGTAAGATTCATGATAAGGGAATCATCAATCTTCTGGAGGTTTGCGCAAAAATGGTTAATCTCCTCCTCTCTGAAAAGTGGGGTTTGTATGGGACTAGTCTGAGTCATCCGTTGTTGATTCGTATTCATCAGTGTCTGATGAAGATTCTGTCTCAACATGATATATAAAAACATGTTGTGTACCATCATACTCTTCTTCAAGAGCTTCATATCCCCCATTGTTAGCGGTTTGTAAAACCTTGACTTTGTCTGGGTATTTTTTTCTATTTGGACATTCATTGGCGTAGTGTCCTTCTTCATTGCAGATCCAACACCTACATTTTTTTCTTTCCTTGCGGACAGGAAGTATTCTTCTTAGGTGTTTCTTTTGAAGGTTTTTTGAAGTATTTTCCTGGTGAAAATTTTCTTCTTTCTTTTCCAAAAAGATTTGAATTTCTTTTTGTTTTTATACTTTTTCTTATTATAATTTTTCTTTCCAATATCAAAGTTTTTGAAATCAGAGAGAATGCTACAACAATCTTTGCTTATTGTTTTAAGTTTTTGTTGTTTATATCTGTCTTGACAGATTCTATCAATTTCTTCTTTTGCAATTTTTGTTGCATAAGAAAGACTGGTTTGCTGGATTTCTCCAGTAACTTCTTTTTTCCATCTGTCTGTACAGGTTTCTCCAATAATTGGAATTTTCATGAGGTAAGCAGATATCCATTGCGCATATTCACTTCTTTGTGGAATATCATACAGATATGATTCATACATACATGTGTATTTGTCGAGAAGACTAATATCATGTAATTGGAGTTTTGTCATTGAAACTCTTGCTATGTCAACTTTCTTATTAATGGTGAAGTCTTTATTAGAAATATAATCAAGACCTAAGAAAGTAGTGTATATGACATTTATGATATTATCAAAAAGATCTGAACCATGCATTTCTTCATTCCAATTATTGTTTCTTAGGAATTTTTGCACAATTCCATCAGTTTTGTGTTCTAAAAGTAGTAGAACATTTTTTGCTTTTTCAAATTCATCTGGGTTTGTCTGTAAGATTAGTGAAATCTCAGTAACCCATTTTTCTACAACTCTTTCTCTGAGTTTTAGATCTTGGATACAATCAATATTGAGTACATTGATCGTATTGGATCCTTGACCACTATTTGGAATACCATTGTGGACAGGCATTTTGAACTCATATTTCTTTTTATTGCTTCTTCTAGCGGCTGTATAAGAAGATTCTGCTTCATCATCTTCCATATCTGAATATTCGAACTTAACAGTTTTTGTATTAGTTTTAAAGTTATCTTCTTGTTCTGATTCAGTATCAGGTTCATCTATTTTAGTCATTCTAAAATATTGATCAAAAAGTTTGGGTTCTTTTTGATACAATTCTTCGCATTCTTCAGTTTCTAAAGATAAAAGTCGAATAAGTTTTTGGTCAGCCTTATCATAATCTTCATATTGAAGGTTAAAGAAATATTTCTCAAGTTTCTCAGAGATTGTTTCTTTCATTTTCACTCTTTTTTGAAAATATCAATTTTCTGGGAGTTTTTTGAGCTTCCTAAGTCAGGGTTTCCAATACTAGGATTGGGAGGTGAGTATTTCTTAAGACCTGAATATTTTCCAGTTTTGGTTTTTGTTCTATGATGGAGATATTTTTGATGTGTTCAAGAATGTCTTTATTACAAGGGCAAGAGTCAATCTTTTCAGATAACTCTTTAGTAATGTCTGCAATAATTTTTGCAGATGCTACTTCCAACTGTGTAGTGGTTACGTATTTATTGGCCGTTAAGTCAAAGTTTATAATCAGCCCATCTATTTTTTCATTAAGGAGGTTGATTGATCTATGAGCTCGGGTATCGAGGTTTGATCTATGCTCGGGTATCGAGTCATCCTATTAGTTGTTTTAACTGCTCTGTATATTAGTGATCTTAAGGTTGTTTTCCTTAAGAGTGCCTCAATATTTGCCTTTTTGGCAACTTCTTCAACAAATTGGTTGTTTTTTAAAGAGTTTTCTAAAAGAATAGAATGTTTGTCAATAGACTGGGTTAACTTGATAGTTAATTTATTTTGTCTTTCAATAACTTCGAAGAATTTTTCAAAATCTTTTTTATCAAGATTGTTTTTAACCAAAAGGCTAAATCGTTTTAAATTGGTTAAAAGGTATTTTATTTTTGAAATATCTTTAGAAATATCTTTTGAAATACCAAGGTAATGGCTTATTTTTGAAGTTTTTAAGAGACATCTTGCAATGATCTGGTTGAGATTATTGCAATGATTTACAATTGTTTGAATACCAGCTTTTCCAGAAGTAGAGAAAACGTATTCTTTCTTTTCAGTATTGTCGTCAAGGTTTTAATTTTGACTGTTTTACCTTTTTTATAAAAATGAGGAAAATCATTTTATTACTCATTTATAATGTCAGAGATTTGTTTGATATTCTGACGTAGACTATCAATTTTTAAAGACATGTTTCTTATTAAGTTACTATCTTTTCTTTCTGAGCTTTCTCCTATGTGGAGTGAATCCATAGAAATTCTTGGTCTAAGAGTTTCTCCTAGAGCTTTTTTTTCTAGCTATATTTAAAACCCAAGAGTTTTCTTGAGGATTTATGTCGCAGAATTGTTTATCTTTGACATGGCCTATTTCTGAAAAGACATCATCAAGTTCGATGTACTCGTCTTTCTTGTAGTCTATGCTATGGTGACTATTGGTCAGGGCATATCCTATAAGATAGGTTATGGTGAATGGTTTATCACCTGGGTTCATAAGGTCACTTCTTTCAAAGTGATGTATAAAAGATAAGTTTTATCTATATTTGCAGATTTTAAATCTAGAGCAAATTTGGATAGACTGAAAACATAAACTTTTGGTAAGCAAGGTTTCCCTTTGCAGCACCTAAGATGCAGTCCTGTCTGTCAGTAATTCTGTTGTCAATTAAGGCCATTTTTATGGGAGAATTTATTCCTGCTTGGAATTGGGATTTTATCAAAATTTTACAGCTCCGATATGGACCATTCTTATTTTGATCTAATCTCAACTGGAATACTTTTTAAGTTATTGTTTATTTGTTCTTTAGTCAAAAGGGGTAGAAAGACAGCTCCTATTGTATCTTTTATGTCTACTAGACATTTCTTTAGTACTAACAAAGTAGAAAATTTCATTTTTCCTTTTAAGCGGATTTAAAATACTAAGTTTAGAAGGAACATTTTTGAAAATGTTTTCTTTCTTTATTTTTAAATCTGTTTTCTTAACTCGAGAGAGAAGGTCTTGTTTTATTAAGAGATTTGCATGAAAGCCGTCTTCATCCTCAACATAAGTTAAGATTTGTTTTTCTTCTGAATTATTTTCTTCAGAATTGTTGAAAATTTCTTTATTCATTTTAAGAAATGTTAACAAGTTAAAATCCTTTTTCTGAGTTCTGAAACTGATTTTTTTCTCAAGATGTTCTTGATGCATTTTTTGCCTATGAAGGAGATACTTACGTATATTAACCATGGTTGGTATATATTCGTGAGTATGTTTATTTTGTGCTTGTAGAATTCTGAAATTTATATGCACTAAATCTTTTTTATTATTAAAAGTATTTCTTTATGTTGAGAAATTTCATTCTCTTTATTATGAATTCTTCAAAAATTCACTGTAAAGTGTTTTATTATAATGTAATGCCATTTTTAACAAGGCTCTGATACCAGTTTGGGTGTGTGGATGTGTACGGACTTTTGATCTTAACAAAGAAGGGAATAAATATAAAAAATTGTGAAAGAAGACTCTTATATCAATAAATGTGTTTTGATAGTAGTGAGTATATACTTACATAGATAGAAACTATTCAAGCCAGCCTGTGTCGTTCATTGGTCTGTGTGGTTGCTTTCCCTGTTGGCCTCGTGCCTGTGGTACTGTTGACCATCGTCGACCTGACACTCTGTCACTTACAGGTTTCATGACTCTATTTGTATAAACACTCAAAAATAACAAAACAAAGATTTATTGATAAAAGAGCTCCCAAAAGGGAGTACTCTTACAATATTTTACATCTTTCTCCCTTCTAAGGGAGATTTACTCACAAGACATTGAACTGAAAATTTAAAGATAGAGAGTGTTTTTTTTGCACTCCTTATTGCGATGTCTCTAAAACAAAACATAACTCTCAATTTATAGATATATTGAGAGGGTCTGATCCTTGCCTATTATGTCAGGCATGACGTTTTTATCCACTAAAGATTACATTATTGTGGACAGCTGGAAAGCTTTTAATAATGGAGAAAAGGCATTATTATTTTGAGTGGAGGGGCCATTTGACACGTGAAGCATCTTCTTTAAGATGATGAGGATTTGTCATCTTCAGAGGGGGGTCCCTCCTTTGTCTCCGAATCTTTGCTCGCAAAAGTGACAAAGATGTTCTTCGAAAAGTTGTTCTGCATGTCGGCAGAAGTGTTGGCGTGTAGCATTGGATACTTCCATGCTATTGTTCATGAATTTTTCTCCAAACTTGGAGGCTTGACGAAGATCTTCTTGGCTGGTGTTGTTGTAACTCCAGCTTGTAATTATACAATGTGAATCGGTATAATTAATCTTCTTTTTTGAACCAGAGATAATTTCAATGATTTTTTCTGATATTCTTCTTAAACCATTGATGCGATTAGGATGAAGAATTTCTGTGAAAGGTAGATCTTTATCTTCCATTGGTTGAGATTGTTCAATCTCTCTATTGGCTTTAGAAAGACCAATTTCCAGAAAGTGGTATGGAGAAAGAGTTGATTCTTGAATCCATTCTGGGAGTGAAGAGATGCATCTGATGTAGATCGGATTATCTTTTGCTTTAAGTACTTTCTTTCGAAAGTTCTTAATGGATTCTACCATGCTGCTTGGGAAGAATTTGAGTTCTTGAAGGTTGCAGCTTGGGTAGATATTGTCGATTAGTCCAGCTTGAAAGGCTTGGTAGACTAATTTTGCATCTGCTCCTTCGAGAAAGTTGAACAGACTTTTTGTTTTCTTGTCCGTAGTGAAAAACTTTTCATGAACAAGGTCTTCTGGGCATGCAGCTCTTGCTTTCTTCCAGATTGTTATGAAATCTTCAAAAGAGATTTCAGGATAGTTAACCATTTGTTGAACGTCAATTGGAACGTCAAACCTTTGGTCTCTGTGGGCTTCTTTGACTTTTTGAATTTTTGGTCGAAGAAGTGGTTGGTTAGTCTTGCTTGTATCGTCTTGATAAGTGGCAAGGCTTAATCTTGCAGATGTTTCATTTCTGAATTTTTTGCAAGTAACTTTATCAACTTTACAGAAGGTTTCTGTAATTCCCCAGTCAGTATGAACACCGGCATGGGGTCCTTTATAGATTACATAAAATCTTTCAGCTTCTTTGTTAAGAGCTTTTTTATAATCTGGTGTAAACTCCTGCACAGATTTGTTAGTGGGTGACAAAGTTGTCATTTTACTGATTCCTTCGGTACAAGGATTGGGATCAACCAATAAGCTAGTTTTTCCATTAGGAAGAGGAGTAGCTGTCTCCTTTATTATGCTTTTTAGTAAAGCATCAACTTTCAACGGATTTGTTGATTCTTTACCAGGTGCCGTTTGCACTGGAATAGCCTTTGTTTTTGAGCTTTCGCTTTCCGGTACATTGGTGACCGTTGTTACTTGTTCATACAAGTTGATTTTCTGCTCAATTGCAGATAGCTCTATGAGGAGCATTTGTTTCTTCATCCTCAAAATGTTGAGGTCTTCCATTTTTGTAAACTCAATTTTTGTTTACTTTTCTCTCTAATCTCCCCTCTCTTTTTTGTAGGTGAAGTTTTTTGTGAGCAAATATGTCATGAGGATCATATCCTTTTATAGGGCTCGAGAGGAGCGAGTGAGATCATGGATGATGTAAGGCATACCTGAAGTCACGAGTGAGGCAGTCTGCCAGTACGTTTTTGTTTCCTGCGAGATGTTCAACAGTGAATGTATATCGTGAGAACCACTCTTGCCATCGTATTAGCCGGCCTAATTTGTTATCTCCTGCAATCTTCGTTCGGAGGAAATAAGTAAAATTTTTATTATCTGTACGAACCAGGAAATTTACTGGTGTTAAATATACAGAGAATTTTGTAATAACTCTTTTTACAGCGAGTAATTCTTTTTCATTGCTATGGTAGTTTTTCTCAGCTGCTTTGAAACTGCCAGAGGTGTACCTGCAAATTTGTTCTTCGTTTTTGGGGTTTTTAGCTTTTAAAACACCTCCCCAAAATTCATCAGAAGCATCAGTTTCAATAATTAAACTGTCTTCAATGTTTGGAAGATAAAGTTTTGGAAAATTGATTAAAACTTTCTTTATCTTTTTGATGTAGTCTGTATCAGCATTTGACCAATTCCAAATGACATCTTTTTTTAATTTTGCCTGTAAAGGTTTTCTCATGGCTGCAAGTTTTTCAATATATGTTTCAGCATAAGTCAAAACACCAAGAAATCTTTGTAGTTGCTTTTTGTCTTCTAAAACATTTGGAAAGTCATGTAAATGTTCAAGA